TCCGATTGAATTAAGATAATTTTGTGACATCCACAACTCAATCAACTCATCTTTGACAATGTTATAATCTTTTGGGAAAATCACACAATACAAAAGACAACGTTTAATTGCCGGGGCCAAATCATAATAACTTAATAACAGTGGTTGGAAAACTTGTTCCTCAACCACATCTAACTCCCATATCTTACTATTCAAAACGTCTTCCCATTCTTTCCTCTTTTTCTTGTAGCGCATGAGACCACCCAATGTCTTTGCAACAAGGGGCAGGCCCTTACACTTTTTGACAATTTCTTTACCAATAGATTCTAACCCTTTAAACTTATTTTTTTCTCTATCAGCCAGTGCCATGTGATAGAACAATGCCCTACAATTTTCTTCACTCAACACCTCCAAATTGACCATACCAGTGGATGCTCCCATCATCCTCGCAACATCCTCCCTTCTTGTGGTCACCAATATTCTACTACCCACAGCCCCATTTTGTAAAGCTAGCTTTAATGGCTCCCACTTTGTAAACCCTTTAAACTCATTTTTTTCTCTATCAGCCAGTGCAATGTGATAGAACAATGCCCTACAATTTTCTTCACTCAACACCTCCAAATTGACCATATCAGTGGATGCTCCCATCATCCTTGCAACATCCTCCCTTCTTGTGGTCACCAATATTCTACTACCCACAGCTCCATTTTGTAAAGCTAGCTCTAATGGTTCCCACTTTGTATAGTCTTTGTTCCACACATCATCTAGGACAAGAAGGAACTTCTTGCCCTTAATAGACTCGTGTATAAACTCCAAGAGTGTTTGCAACTCATTTGAAGCTGGGGTATTCCACTTTTTCAGGCCCTTAATGATGGCTTTGGCAATTTTGATCTCATCAAAAGGATCTGAGACACAAACCCATATTCTAGTGTTGAAATGAGCTTGAACCTTTTCATCATTATAGGCAAGTTGGGCAAGAGTTGTCTTGCCAATTCCTCCCATCCCTATAATAGGGATGACAAGGCAGGTCGCCCCTCCTTGACCGCTCTCACTCAGCAACTTTTTTACTAATATTTCCTTTTCGTCGACTCGACCAAATGTCTTCTCAACGAAAGAAGAACTTTTTTGTCGTTCAATTTGTTCAATTCCTCTTTTCATGTATTGAAAGTTATAGTTTTGTCTTTCACTAGCAATCAGAGCTAATGTTTCATTCAGTTCTTTTATCTTCACAGCAATGTCACGATGAAGAATTACTTGACGGACTTGGCCAAAACAAAACCAAGGGGCTGGAATGCAGAAACATACCTTATTGGTAGTACTAGTACTACCAGCATTACCGGCTTCTTTTTCTTGTTTTTGAATATGTTGTTTCAGAATTTCAGTATTCCACTCGTCCAACACGTCGTCCATCTCATAGGATACATCCTTCAAACTGTCCAGCCAGTATCTCACAGCCACCTCCTTCATTTGCCTCTCCTCTGCATTCTCGAGCACAGCTTTAATAGCTTTGAAATTGCGGGTGAGTTTTGCCACCTCTTTCTTAACATCCATAACTGGTCTGACCTCTTGTTCTACTTTTTTTTTAATGATTGCGGCCAACTGTTCTAGGAGCACGGAAATGAGTGCTTCAGCCATTTGTTTGCTCTAGAAATGGATTTCTATGGAAGAAAAAGGGAAAGAGGAAAGGGAAGAAATCTTTTAATGCAAATGATAACAAGGTAGTGTTGGGAATTGTTGTAGGCATTCTCATTTCTCCCCAGCTAGTTTTATAATGTTGA